TTGGCACCCCGGCCGGGTTGGGCGCCCGAGCCGCCTGAAGCGCCCACGGGGCCATATTCAGCTGTCATCGGGCAGGATCTGGATGCCCCGGGGCGCGTACCGTCAGCTCTGTGAAAGACGTCGGGCAGAGTCGGCCGGGCAGGGCCGGGTCCGGGTCACAGCCCTAGTGTTTTCTATAAGTTTTACATATGTTACATATGCTAATTCATATGTAATTTGGCTCTTGAAACTGAGCCTTGGGTTGTAATTATTGTTACTAAGGACCCGTTTGGCTGGTTTAGCCAAAAAGTGTTACAGACAAACGGTGTTTCGTTTTGCTCCTTTTTCAAGGGGCGGAATGAAAAACTTGAAATTGGGGTTTTCAATTACCAAACATGTTGGGAATAAAGTGTTATGTTTTTTACTTTCTCAATTTTGTGTAGTGTGATCCTGTTTTTCTGTTTTTGACTAATCTCAATGTGTGTTATTTGATATTTGTCACATTTGATATGTTGCGTAGTTACTTTATTCTAGCTTGTTTAACTCTTAGCTCTACAGTTGTTTTTCTACAAAGAGCTACCTATGAGTCAGAAGAGTTTGATCCTCATGCATTCAAACTCTTCTTCATCTTACACTACAAAGCATAAAACCAACTTTGACGCATTCTGCTTTGCGTGAATGACTCATAAAACAGTCAACCCAAAATATCTTCAAAAGATCAAAATGATTGTTGTTGACCACTTGACCACCGGTCAAGTTGAGGGGCAAAAACAGTTTTTGGCCTGAAAATTAACAGCCTTCAGGCTGTTTTTCAAAATCAATCAGTTTTTGATCAAATGAAGTTGCCAAATGCCAGTGTTTTTGACAAAAATCAAAAACAATTTTTGTCAGCCCTCAAGCTTTTGCAGAGCAAAAGCCAAGAAGCTTCAAATAGAATATATAAATAAATTCCAAAATGATACCTTTTCTCATTCACACTCTTATAACACCTTGCACCTAAGTTTCAAAGACAAAATAAATATGTTTCTTATTTACATCATTTATAACACCTTGTGTCTAAGTTTCAAAGACAAAAATAATAACACATTGATATTTACCTACCTTTGAATATAGAAGGATAGTAATGTATCATCATTAGTAAATACTACGACTATTCAACTATATCAAAACTAATAAATAAACACTATCAAACAGGGCCCAACAGTGTCAGAAGCCTCATCCAGATGTGTTTCGCCTCAACAAACTGGCAAGATCGCGTCAAAGTGTCCAAAAAATGATGCAAATTATTCTCATCATGATACCCTAATGATGTCATTCATTGGCTATTAGTATTAGCCCAAAAATCAGATCAAGATAGTTTTCCCTTCTCCTTCTTGGTTGTTCCCGTCTGGACAGTGACTTTGACCAATTCTTTGTAAAAAAATAGTGATTCTTGTTGGGTTGTTCTTGTGTTCTCTTCTGATCCTTGTGTGATTTTCCAAAGTTTGTATTCATGGCACATATTTGTCGTACACGTTTCTCCTGCAAAACCACCCGTTGTGTATTCTTGAGTCTGAATTCTCTTTTTTCCTCTGCAAAAGTTATCCTCCAGGCTCGAATGATGAATCACTGAGGATCTTTAGAGGATGTGTTCATGTACGTATTCCTGACTGTCAGTTCACCTTGACACCTTTTAAATAACTCTTCAGCGAAGATCTTTGCCTAATTGCATGTTGAATATTCCAGACTCCTCATTCTTGTCTATGTTTGGAATTTGTGTTCCTATTTGACCTCCACCAAGTATCAGGTAAAGAAATCATGAAACAAATGAAGGCTTCTTTTCCAACTATGTTGAGTTGTGCTATGTCCCATTTTCTTCGTCCAAGCAACTTTACTTGAAAAAACTTCATTTCGATTGGCCCGACGTACGTAGTTTCTCCTCAAGACGACTTACAAATCGCCCGAACAAACTGTGATGAAGTTTATCTGTCCTTTAGCCTCAAAAAGTATATGTGCCTTTGTAGAAAGCCTTGAGATCAGATCAAGCGCATCGGTGCTGATCTTGGGGAATGAAGCGTAAGAAAATCAAGATTGAAGTCGAGAGGAATCTCATGTCTCCAAAAATGTATCTGTACCTACTTAGTACTACCTCGTGACTGTGGAGGAGTGTGGAGGTCATCCTCATCAAACAAGATTAATAGAGTTATAACCTTTTTTTGTAAAAAAAGAAACCTGTACTCGTCAAAAAATCATAAACAACTCCACCTCAAGTTCAAGTTTCAATCCACTTGACATTTGCACCTACATATTTTTCCAGATTTGTACCCCACAGATTGGTTTACAGACAAAAGAATAAAAACCTGGATGAACTAGCGTGAATCTTTCACCATGATCATTGATTAGATCTCGATTCATAAGAAATCATTCTACACAAAGTTCAAAGAGATATAAAGAGATATAACTAAGACTTCATTGACTGTACCCACTCTTGACGGTCATCAAAAGTAAAAGAAACAGATCCATGTAATCAAAGAAGGTTCAACTCTAGAGAATTTAATAATTGTTGATGATAAAAGTAAATAATCTTTACACCCAAAGGTTCATCCTAAGATCCTGTTTAGATTTACAAAACTTGACTCTTTTTTTTCTCAATTTTCATCTTCTCAATAAATATGAACCCCCCAAAAATTATTTATATATATATATATCAAGAACCATCAACCTTTTTCCAATCAATTAAAATAAAAAAACCTCATTTCATTTCTTATCCTATCATCCCTTTCAAAAAAAATGATAAAGAAATCTTAACCAATAATAAAAATATGTAAAAATCAACCTACTTTAAAAATCTAAAAAAGAAAATCTAAAGAAAAAAAGGAGATTCAATTAAATTTTAAATTCCCTTTACTTATCCTAAATCCTAAATCCTTTCTAGAAAACAAAACACAAAAACAAGCAAACAATCTTGTTTTTTTCGTTTCAATTTTTTTTTCTCGTTTCAATTTTTTTCAATTTGAAAAGCATTAGCCATAAACCTATAATGTTCTAAATCGTTTCTCAACACATTCATCAAATGATCAATTCCAATCTGTTGATTTCTCAAAACCTAAACCCAATTCCGCCAAAAAAAAGAACCCAAAAAAGAAAGAATCTCAGTACGTTTCATTTCCCCCACCAAAAGAAAAAAAAGTCAAAAAGAAAGCGAACCTCTAAAACCTTTTTAATTTCTCTATCATCAGTCAAAGTCCATCTCCCATTCCCATCTTTCCCACCCCCCTCACTTACTCCACCTCCACTACCACCACCACTACCAGCTCCACCTCCAATCCCATTCGCCCCACCTGAACTTTTCAAAAAACTTAAACCCGACCAAAGTTCACTCAGTTTAGATCTACCACCAGTCTTCTGTAACCTGATCGAAAGTTCAAAGACCATCTTGTAGAACTCTTGAAACTTTTCTATATCGTCCGATCTCATGTTTGATTGATGATGATTCGAAACAGGTAATCTGATCATCAAGTTGATCAAACGTTTGGTCAAGATCGATTGATGGGTTTGTAGTTTATGTAGTTTGGCTGTAGTGATCAATGTTAATCGTTTAACGATCTCATTCAACTTATTTGAAAATTCCTATTTCCATCCACCCCCCAAAAAACCCATCAATTAACTTGTGGCAAGAAAGAGAAGGGGAAAAAGAACGAACGAATAATTTGGTTAAATGTAGGTTAGCTTGATCGACTTGAACTTCTTGACGTTTAATCAAATCTTCAAATCCAATGGCTAAAACTGGTATCATTCGATTCGGATCTGGATTCAAACGTTTGGCTAGATCCCATTGTCGTTCGTTTTGTGATAAAGGATGTCTTTGATATAAATGAAGTTGATCTGGTTGAACTAAATTATAAAAATAATACTATTTTCAAAAAAAAAAAAAAACGAAAAAAACACGAAACCCGGAAAAAACAATTGGATTGATTTATTAAATTCTTGACGTGTTTTTCTAGCAAAAATTTGATCAACTTACATGAAATTCACAATTAGGATCCGATAAATTCCATGCTTGATACACCTTGATAATCTTTTCTTCAATCGAAACTTGATGTTGGATTTGAAGTTGTAAAGAATTAGAAGAGAAAAGATGATTCCGAGCCAATGAAGTCGAATTAGAAGGAGTAGACGAAGAATTCAAAAGAGATGTAGAAGCATTAAACCCTGATGAAGGTTGGGCTTGGTTGTTGTTGTTTGTGGAATTGAAAAGGGATGAGGGTTGGGTTGGGTTGGTTGTGGAAGTGAAGAGTGATGAGGATTGGTTGGGATTCGAACCGAAAAGGGATGAACTACTTGATGGTGGATTGGTGTTGTTTCCAAAGAGTGAATTGGATGTTGGTTGGTTATTGTTGTTGTTGCCGAAAAGTGAACTAGTCGTTCCGGTCTGATTGTTGTTACTATTGCCAAAGAGTGAATTGGATGTTTGATTATTATTGTTGTTATTTCCGAACAGTGATGAATTGTTGGATTGGTTATTATTATTGTTATTTCCAAAGAGTGATGAATTGTTTGATTGACTATTATTATTGTTATTTCCAAAAAGTGAACCAGTTGTGCCGGTCTGATTGTTATTATTATTGTTTCCAAATAGTGAATTGGATGGTTGTTTTTGTTGTTGTTGATTATTATTATTTCCAAAAAGTGATGAATTATTTGTTGGTTGGTTATTATTATTATTTCCAAAGAGTGATGAGTTCATGTTTGAAGGTTGATTGGGGGTAGGTTGAGAAGTTGAGAATGATGAACCTAGGAGAAGTTGATGATTATGAACTGATGGTTGATTGATAGTTGATAGTTGGATTGAGATGAGATGACTTACCGAATAAAGACATTTCCTTCTTAGCTGATCGTCGAATGCCACTGAGATTTGAGTGGAGTGGTTCGAGTTTGAGTTGAGAAGATCCGATGGTCCGAGTACTTAACCCGATTCCGACCACGGTACCAGGTCGATATCTCACTCCAGCAACAAGTCATCCAGAGAACAAATCAACAAAATGATCAAACCATCTCATCAAAACACTCAAACTCAAGTCAGTCATTCTCATTCTCATTCTCATTCTCATTCCCACCATCCCATTCCAAATCACTGACTTCATGCTCAATCAATCCAACACAGTGGCGACACTTAAATTTCTTCGATTCAGATCCCATTCAATTCACTTCCAAAGACCTTCATCCATTCAAAGATCCCAATCAATCCAACACATTCTCATCTGGACATGATTCAATTGCAATAGGTCAAAAAGATGGTCAAATTCATTGTTTAGATCGTAATTTGAATCTCACCAGATCTTGGTTAGCATTTCAATCGGGTCAGGTTTCTTTACTTAAGTTTACCAAGATTAAAGGTTTACTTATTTCGATTGGTGTGAGTGAAGTTTCTTTTTTTCTGATGGATTGGTTTTCTGATGACTGATATGGTTTGGATGGGGTTGATGAGAGTGATAGGATGAATTGGGATCTAGTTTTCCGATTTTGAAGATTTGGAATTTGAGATTTGAAGATAAACATCATTCTAGTCCTCAATTATTGGCTCATTCTAAAATTCAAATCGGTCCTCGTCCTCATCCAGTAAGTGGCTCATCTCTCTATCTCTTCGATCACTCATCCTTGATATTACTGACTAAACCTATCCTTCATCACAGGTCACCACTATAGCTCTCACCGATTCACTTACCTATCTTTCACTAGGTTTAGCCGATGGTACCGTCATCCTTTATCGTCACTTAGATCAAGCTTTAGTCTCCAATGCTTCAATCCCTCATCAATCAACCAACCGAATCACTCCTCTCTTACCTAAACCGAAAGTCGTGTATTCTTCACCTGAACCGATCACCGGTCTAGGCTTCAATCCATCTAAACCAAACTCCAACATCTCTCTGTTTATTGTCACGACGGCCAAAGTGCTAACGTATGTGACTTCAGGTAAAGGTGCAGGGAATGCTCCATTATTGATAGATGATCTGGGGGCTGGAATAGGTTGTATAGAAGTCTATCAAGATGGATCTTTGGTTCTTGCAAACGATTCGGCTCTTTATCTTTATGGATCAGAAGGACGTCAAGCTTGTTTAGCATATGATGGACCTAAGAATCGGATTGATGGAGTCGATCATTATTTGATGATCAGTGGACCGACCCAAATCGGTTCTACTCTGGCTCATTCAAACGAATCTAGATTGATTGTGTTTGATTTAGAGAACCGATTGGTGGCTCATTCAACTATTTTTAAATCTCCTATTCATCATGTTTGGTCATACCAAAGTGGTGAAATCTTTGTATTAAGTGGAACAGGAGAAGTTGAGTTTTAAATTGATTCACTCCACTCCCCCCCAAAAAAAGAATCAAAAATTTAAGAAAAAAGTATTAAAACTGATGAGACATTTTTTGGTTTGGGGAAAGATAGGTGACTAGATTGATTGAAAGATCATTAAATGAGAAATTAGAAATGATGTTTGAAAAAGAATTGTATATGCTTGCAGTGAATGTAGCGAAGATTGGAGGAGCAAGTGAAAGTGAATTAGCTGAGATTTATAAACGATATGGTGATTCATGTTATTTGAAATCAGATTATCAATTATCTGTACAACAATATATTAAAACTATTGGGATTGTTCAACCTAGTTTTGTGATTCGAAAGGTAAATTCGATTTGATTTTTTTGTTTTTTTGGTTTGTTTGATGGATCGGATTAAGGTTCTTTTTCTTTGGTTTGCTTTAGTTTTTGGATGCTCAGAGGATCTCGAATTTGACTTCTTATTTACAAGAACTTCATTCACAAGGTGTAGCTAATTCAGACCATACGACTCTTTTACTAAAGTTGAGTGAACCTTTCCAAGTTTCCCATCATAACAAAATCACAACAAAGATCACAACAAAGCCCTAATGAAAATTTGAATTTCTCATTTTAAAACACAGTTGTTATACTAAATTGAAAGATCATGAAAAATTAAATGAATTTATCAAATTAAGTACGATCCGGAATTCAGGTAAAGGAAAAGATCAAGAAGAATTACCATTCGAATTAGAAACGGCCATTCGGGTTTGTAGACAAGCAGGGTATTTTGATCATGCACTTTATCTTGCTCAACAGTTTGATCAAAATGAAGATTATCTTCGAATTCAAATCGAAGATCGATATGAATGGAAAGATGCATTAGAGTTTATTCGGAATCTTGGACCGATTGGGGTGAGTTTTTTTGATAAGTTTGGATTGATAAGTTTGGTATCTTTTTTATAGATGATTGATTGAATATGATGTTTTGGTTTTTGGATAGGCTGAAGTGAATTTATTGAGATATGGGAAACCTTTGTTGGCTAATCTGACGAAAGAAACTACTGAGTTAATGATTGATGTGTGTTGTGGTACCATGAAAGCTAAGAAAACTACAAGAAATCAAGAAGAAGAAGGCGAAGAAAAAAGACAAGGGTTTTCGAAAGAAGACCATGGAGCTGAGAAGAATAGTTTACCTTCTTTGAGACAATTTTTTGCATTTTTTATTGATCAACCTGATTCGTTTATTCATTTTCTTGAAACGGTGGCTTTTAGAAGATGGGGAGATCGATTAGAAGATGAAGAAGAGGAAGAAGGAGAGGAGGAAGAAGAAGAAGATGTATGGGTGAATGTAAGAGAAGAAGAGGAAGAAAAGAAGGTAGAGATTGAATCCGAAAGAGAAGATAAAGAAGCTGTTTGGGGTACCTTATTAGAATTATATTTACAAACATCAACTTATCCAAAAGAAGAAAAGAAGATGAGATCGAAAGCATTAAGGTTATTGAGATCGAAATCGATTGGGATTTATTGTGAAGCTTCTCAAGCTTTGATTGTTTGTTTAGCACATGATTTTCTTAGAGGAATCGTGTTACTTTATGAAAGATTAGGAATGGATGAAGAAGTTTTGAGGGTTTGGATTGATTTAGATTTAGTGAAAGATTCAGAAAAGCAAGAAGGAATGGCTAGAGTTGAGATTGTAGGATTGATTCATAAGTATATTGAGAATAAAGGAGGAAAGAGAAGATCTAAAGAAGAGATTAAGAATTTAGTTTCGATTGGATTAAAGTATTTGTTGAGTTGTAAGAGTTTACAGGAAAAAGATGAAGAATTGATTGAAGGGGTTTTAGAGCAGATTAGTGAGAAGAAAGTTTTAGAAGTGATTGAGGTGGTTGAACTTTTTGGATCATCTGAAGATGAAGAACATGAAGATGGTGAGAATGGGTGTAGTTTGGGTAGAGTTAAAAAGTATTTGTTGAAAGAGGTGATGAATGAGAAGATGGAAATCGAAGCTGTTTGAGTGTTTTTTTACTTCTTCTCTTGATCTAATTCTTGGTTTGAAACTGATTGACTTCTTTTTTTGGCGCGGGGTGGGTAACAGGATCGAATTTTAATTGAATCATATAGAAAAGAAAATTCGAAAAAGTTAGAATGGATTAAAGAGATTACGAATGTAGAAAAACCAAAAGTTTTGAAAACTAATGATCGATGTAAGATATGTGATTTGGTTTTAGTGGGTTCTGATCAAAGTGTTTTACACTTTATGTGTTCTCATTCGTTTCATCAAAGGTAATTGAAGATTTTCCAAAACCGTTGAAAAAAAAGAAATGATTTCTTGAAACACTGAATGTTTTTTCGAGTTTGCTTTTTTCTTTAGGTGTTTAGGAGAAGAAATCGAATGTCAAATTTGTAAACCATCAAATGAATTGATTAAAGAGATTCAAAGAAGAAGAAAGTTTGATTTAGAGAATTGTTCGAATAAACAAGCTTATGATGGGTTTCTTGATGAACTTTCGGTGGTTGATGATAGTTGTAAGTCTTGAGTTTCCCTCACCCAAACAAAAATCACCAGAAAAAAATGAACAAGATGATGGAGGAGAAAGAGAAAGAGAAATTGATGATGTTCTTTTCTGGTTTTTGTAGTTGGTTATATTGCTGGATTCTTTTCCAAGGGTTTGTTGTGAAGTTGATGAACAGTAAAAGGTTTGATTGTTGGTCAGATACTTACATGAAGGTACATGAAAGTTAATGATCAAGAGATTGAAACTGTTATATAAATTTTGTAAGAATTCATAAGGTGGTTTTTGGGGGGGGGGAGTGTTTTCATTCAAAGAAAAAGAAGAACGTTTATTTATTGTTTATTTTTGGTTGGTTGTATGTGTGTACTAATATGAATAAAGTGAAAAAAGAAAAGAAGTAAAAGATGGTAGATCAGGATTCAATTTTGTGAGTCAAGTGTGAGAGTTGCGAGAATTTCAAGTGGTCATTTGGTCGTGCATATATTTCATCTGAGTGATCATTGAAACAGATATAGTGAATTCAGTTTAAATACGGACTATAAAGTCTTGATACCATGTAAGGGTTTTTCAAATGTAAATTATGCTGTCTTTGAAAATGATATAGTACACACAATTTGTAGATTGTGTTTTATTGAAAAAAACCAATCAGATTGTCTTATCACATTAAAGTTCAAGAATGTTTCAGATTTGATATTTTACGCTTTTTGGTCTGAAAGAGCTGTAAGACTACACCTTTTCATGTCTTGATATTTTTGAAATGGTAACTCATTTTAAAAACCTAGAGATGGAAATTCTTAACTGTAACTCAAAGGTTTGAGGAAGTGTTGATTTGAGCGTAGATTTTTTTTGATGGAGTGTCTTGAAAGGTACATGAGAAATCTTGATTTTCTCAAGTTTGTATTTGTTGTATGGTTTCGGAGAAAACATCATTTACCATCAATTTGGGAGTATGTAGGTACCTTCAAAACACATGGTTGCTTCAAAATGAACCAAGTCCATCATTGTACTTCACCTTTGATGATCAAAATAAATGACTTAGGGTGTGTTCACTTAAGGAAATTCTGACCAGAAATCACATTCTGTGAATTTTTTAATGCAAAAATGAAACATGCTTCATCAAATAGACACTTAAATTTTGCAGAATGTGATTTCTCCCCAGAAATTGCTTAAGTGAATACGCCCTTACAGTGTGAATCATTTGTTACATTCAAAAAATGATGAACATTTTATTTTCCAACCATTCATCCTTTGCTTTGAACAAGAAAGTACATTCAATGTGTATGCAACTCCTGCTTCTTATAATATCTCTCAAATTCTCTAACACTATACCTCTAACATCATCTTATCTTTTTTTCTACAACATCTCATGAGTAAATATCAACTTTTTCAAAACCTTGAAAACCATTCCAAAATTTAATGTCCTACAGAATCAAATCTTAATGTTGATTGTCTCCATTAAGTTTTCAAACCTTCAAGTTTGATTCACTAAAAGATCCTGGGCAAAAACTTTTTGTATAGATTATCATGACCTAAAAGATTTTGATTGTGTGCCTTGATAGGAGCCCTCTGGGGTCCTAGCAGCACACAATAAAAATGGTAAAAAACAATGCAAAAGATGAAAATATTAACATGATCTTAGTGTGGAACTAAAAAATCTTATAACCTTACTAACAAATATCTAGTAAAAATTTCTAGAGGAAAAAGAAGTTTTTATATTGTTTTTTAATGGAAAGTGATAAAGGACACCAACCTGAAAAAGGGACTTAGCTTAAAAAAGCCCTCTCTGCGCGGTCACGTCCGCGCGCCTCGCAGAGGGGCTTATGACTGATTGTCAACTTTTGGCGTGAACATTCCAAGCATCAAGTGTTGTTATGTTGTTCTTTGCATCTCAGCACTTCAAGTTCCCTCGCCAACAAACATTACTTTACCCCCCAGGGAAAGTGGTTCACAATTGTTTTCTACATATGTTTATATGCTCATCTTCCAGGAAACCCTGTTTCATCATGCCGTTTCTGAGCTAGATTTTGAAGCCCTAGTTATGTCCCACTAGCAACATGGTTTACAGCTTATATTCACACTTTATGAGTTTTAGAGGAAATCATTATGTCTCAAAGTGTCAGCCCTGAGTACATATACATGTACCCAAAACTAACCTGTAACACTAAAAAACATTATATATAAAATCAATTACATCTATATACTGAGCTCAGGATGTATGTAACAGGTACTAAAATGTACCAAAAACACTTATTACATATACATGTACACTTGAAACAACATGTGACATGTAATAAAACATCACTTACACCTCATAACTCAGTGTCAAGAGTTAAAATGCTTATATTACATATCATACATAACATGTATATGTAAGTAAGCACTGTTAATAATAATCATTAACATATAGTAATGATTAACCCTGAACCAATGTAGTGATAATAACAAATATCACTACAGTTAGGTTTAGAGAGGAGAGTATATAAACCCCTCCCCCCCTCAGCCTTCAGAGATTTCCCCCAAGCAATGGTTACCCAGTACTTTTAAAGAACAATTAAAGTCCAACTGAAGTAAATATCAAGAGTCTTATATATAAATAAGACTAGTGATAAGCTTCATCAACTTTAATCAGCTTCCTGATTAAAAGTAGGTAATACATTCTTCAATCCCCTCTGGATCCTCTACTCCCCCCAAGTAGAAACCCAATCAAGGTTAGTGACCTCAAACAACTCCAGGCTAGTGACCTTAAGAAGAACTCCAGGCTGGTGACCTTAAGCACAACCCCAAGTTGGTGACTTTAAGAACAACCAGATTGGTGAACTAATTCACTCTTTGATCTGTTAACCTAAGGATTAAAGGAAGGTCTTGGATCCAACCTTCACATATAATAATACTAGTTATTATAAATTATAAACCTCCTTTTTAGGAGTCAACTAAGTGAAGTCTGTCTGCATTTATCCAAACAGACAGTTAGTCCTTTCTTTCCTCTTTCTTTTTCTTCTTTAATTCAAATTGTATCTACTACATATTGGAAATAAAGAAGTAGAATTAATCACAACTTATCAATTTCCCATTAGTGAGCCTTGAGCACTCCTAAAAAGAGTACCCAACCCCTCACACAAAGTCAAAAATTAACCCAAAAGACCGCTGTACGGGCGGGATTTGTAAAAATCTTCAAACATCTTTTGTTGCCGCATCACTCAGAGTGTCCATCATTCTAGGCCATGAGGACATGTAGAAAAAATCTGTGAACCACTTTCCCTGCGGGGTAAAGTGATTTTTGTTGGCAAGGGAAGTGTTGAAATGCAAAAAACAACATGACAACACTTAATGCTTGGAGTGTTCATGCCAAAAGTTGACAGTTAGTCAAAAGCCCCTCTGCAAGGTGTGCGGACGTGGCTGCGCAGAGAGGGCTTTATGGGCTAAAAACAGATCTGGTGCTGGTTTTTCTTAGACTTGATTCCTTTTGAAGATATACAGCTCTCTACATCTGCTATGTACAAAGCTGTACTGCGCCCAGAGCCTTCAGACAGCTTCAGACAATGTCTGAAGCCAGATTTTTATTTCACCTTGATGCCGGATTGTTCATTATTTGACTATGGCAGCTTCCCAAAAACAGTGCAATACATGGTACCCAGTCATAATGGTCTGCCGTAACGTTTCAGAATCAATAATATTACAGTGAGTTCCAAGTGTTGAACCTTGTATGACTGAATAGTTTTTCAATTTCTGTCTGAGACCTGTAGTGTTTCCAAGCTTTGCTACCACAATTTAGCTCTAAAAATTCAATTCACTGATGAGCTGTGTATCACCCATTTTGATAAGGCATGAGTAATAAACTTGAGCCATGGGTACCAAAGCAACAGGATGAAATTCCTGTTCCATACCTCAGTAGCCATATTCCTGATCTCATCTTTAGATGAATGCAGCAGCCCCCTTTTATGGCCCAGGCCTTCTCCCCTTCTTACAACGCAGCATGTTGTGACCTGACCACTAAGAGTTGCTTGAAATTTGGCCAGGTCAACAGGATCATCAAAAGATCCCTGTATCTTGAAGACTCCACATATTTCTCTGAAATCAAAGATTCTCCCTCTCGCAGAAACTATTCCTCAGACCTCTGTACCTTCCCTCCTGTTCAGCCTCTATGACATTGCCTTTGTAGAGTCTCTTATTTCACTTTTCAAACCCCTCTTGAACCTTTTTGCCCTCCCTCCCTATGTGTTTGATAAGAGCTCCTCACCCTTTCTCTCAGTCTTGCCTCAGGATGCCAGAAATGTGAAAGCTCTTCTCCCTTCCTTTGTTAATCTCTGCCTTTGGTTGATATGGCCTTGACAAGACTTCCTTCAAAAGTGTGAGAGGCGCTGGGTTTTCTTTTCTGGTGGCTGGCAAAGCTCACCTTGAAATCTCTTCTGAGGGCATGTTGCTCACAGGAAAATTCCACACCTACAGTGATCAAGAGAATACAGCACTTTCTCACACCCATGCATTTTTGTGACTTATCACCCATTAAGATCACTCATAATCCCTGAATCCTTGGAATAGATCTCAAGATGAATAGACCATCAAAGATGTGTAGGGAACAGAAAGCACAGGACCCACCAGAGATCCTAGAACAGCTTTGAACAATCAGCAACATAAAAAACACTGGTTTTGTAGAGCGAATACATGGTCTCTCACAAATTTCAACTAAGAGATATCGGACAAGGATCAGCAGCTTTGTTTGTATTTGAGGTTTCTGCCCAACTTGTGCTAGTCTTGGACAGCATTTGAATTTCTGACCTAATATGCAATTTCAATGTTTTTTGTCCTTTGGGATATCCTGAAAATCTTGAAGTAAACATATAGTAAATGCAATAT